TTCTGCTTTGTTTCTTTATGTTAAAATAGCTTTGGTTATGTAGTATATTGTTTTATGTTTATTGTTGTTGTTTGTTTGTTTGTTTAAGTACCAGGGATTGAACCCAGGGGCATTTAACCACTGAGCCACATCCCTAGCCCTGGGCATTTATTCTATTATATAAATTTTAGGATTATTTTCAAGTTCTGTGAATAAGGTCACTAATAATTTATTGACAATTGATTGAATCTATAGATTGCTTTGGCTAGTATGAATATTTTTGACAATATTAATTCTTCTGATCCATGGACAATTTTTGTCTCTACTTCACTTTCTTTCATCAATACTTTATAATTTTCATTGCAGAGATTCTTGACATCTTTGGGTTCATTTATTTCAAGATATTTTATTTTATTTTATAGCTATTATAAATAAGATGCTTTCTTGGTTTATATTTAAGATAATTTTCTATGGGCATTTAGAAATGTTATTTACTTGAAATTTATGTGTAGATTTTTTACTTGGTAATATGGAGACATTTCTGGGATATAGAAAATTTAGAGCACTTTTCAATAAGGTTTCACTTTTCTGAAAGAAAATAAACATTCTGGAAAGATGTAGATTACACTATTAATCATAGTTATTAGGTAACCATCAAAGTTACATATTTCATATGTTTTAATTTTCCTTTTATTCATTTATGCCTTATATGTCTTCTCTTTTTTTCAGTTTTTCTGTGAATGTGCATGGAAGTAAATTTTATAATAAAGTCTTTTATCTTTGAAAAAAGCAAATACATAAGGAACTGGAAAATATTGCCATTCTTTGTGTGTGTGTGTGTGTGTGTGTGTGTGTGTGTTCATGAAGCTACCTTCACTTACTACTGTTTTTATACCACTGTCTCACTGACATGTCCAGAGTCAGGCTGGCTTGATTCAGCACCTGGTCCTTGAGTGTGAAAGTCAAGTTGAATCAATGCATTGGATAGGGGCTTGCTCATTTATTAAAAGAGGGGCTGGACTGTTTCTCCTAAACATCTTGGATTTGACATGACTGCTTAAGCAATCCCACTTCACCCTCTCTGGAAGTGCTTTGATCCAGGTACACTCCAAGATTTCCTTGTAGGCACAATAAGGTAACTCTGACCAGCTATTGACCCCAGTGCTCACATTAACATGGGATTGACATGTAGGCGAAGCCCCTCTAAATAGGATAGCCACTGTGACACTTCTGAAATTTGACCAAGGTCAAAAAGTCCACCACCTGACATGAAGGAGGACTTGATCACCTGATTGTCAAAGAGTACAAAATACAGTCCCCAGTTCTCCTAACATCAAACAGTAATAAATTTGGAGACTTAGCATTGTCTCCTTTATTGTTCTCTGCTTGGAAACAGCCCATTCTCTCTATTGAGAGTGTTCACTGCTTATGCCTCACTTTGTTTTTACCTTATTTTCACCTATAATAAAGTTCTCTTGCATTGCTTTTTGTGACTGAGTTTAAATTTTCTTTCATCAGAACACATGAACCAAGGTTTGGAGTTTCAACTCCCCACTTTCCTGTGGAGAATTGTAAAGTTAGAATAGTTCTGTACAAGTCAGCAAGATGATCATCAGACATACCTTGGCGAAGCGCTTTTACTTTCACCTCATTGTCTCACAAGACATCTTTAATTAATTTCAACTAGTTTATTTGTTTTTAGGACTTATTATCTCCAGGGAATAACATAATTTCAGTGCAGGGTAATCCCTTTAGGATATGATGGAAAACTTTAAGTGGGCAGTGTAAGAGACATGATTATTAAAGATGATCTCTAAATATTCTCTGAAACTTTTATTCTTCTGATCCCAAATGCTTTGGAGAGAAAGCTACATATGTATTCTAAATTCTGACAGCATTACCATAAAGGAAAGAAAGCATTTGAAAAGCTTATTCTCAGAGAAATCTAGGTGAGAGAATCATTTAAACATATTTTTTATTCCTAATTTTTATGACCATAAATATTTACCTTTCTGAATCACTTACCATTCTCATTTTTTCTTACATTTTGATAGCATTCTCATCTTTCTGGCTCTTCTCAAAAATCACATAGTATGGCAAATAGAATGAGAAACAATGGTGTAAATCCACTAATTTTTTCCTTATAAGAATAAAATTTTAAAATATATAGGTAAGCTCATAAAAAATTCAATTAAATAATTCAGCCTAGTACCTTGAAAATTATTTATAACAACTAATCACATAACTGGAATTTAATATTATAGGCAAAGAATTTTCTACCATCTTCCTTTTATTGTTTTGATTATGGAAGTATAGACACGTTTTGACAGTGGAATTTATATGACATGATTTCTCAGTAGATAGGTCCCCATATATCATTAAATAATAAGAGGAAATAGCCTCTTAAAGCAAAACAAACTTTGAATTCAAAATTTCTATTTGCATTTAAAGTTTTTTTTTCTTTTGCTAAGTGTTTATATCCAAAATATAAAGATAAGCCTAAAAGACTTGTATCTATTATGTTATACCTTACAGAATTTTATAAATTTTTTGAGATAACTGAAAAACAATAGAAAAGAGTCAATTTAGATAAAGTAAAAATATCTAAGTTTCTTATGATGCTGATGTTGAAAATTTTCCTTGTAGAAAACAATGTACAGAGACAAAGAGGTTACTAAGGATTATTACTAAATAAACCAATTCACCGATAGGGCAAGTTAGGATTGGAACCAATTCTGCTTTTTTTCCATATATTTTACAGCTTCTTTCACAGAAGTATGAAATTTTTTAAAAAAATCTCAAAATGCTTGTTATAAATATAATTTTAAAATTTTTCAGATAGGTGCAATAAAATAAAGCAATGTACATTATACAGGAGAAATTGCTTTAGGTATAGAAGAGATGCTCTGAAATTCAGAAAAGGAGATTGTTGTATTCTGGAACATTCAGTTCAAACATTATTGAAAAGAATTATATGTAACCTATACCCTACTAAAAAAATAGAGAGAGAGAACTTAGATATTTGGGAAAAAATAATCAATGGAAACTATGGAACGGAAAGGGTCAGTATGTGTAAAAATGGGTGACACCAGGAAAGGGATGAAAGATAATAGCATGGAGTGTTATTGCTTTCATGTTCCAAAGTAACTCAGTTTAAGGATGAATAGTCACCTCCATCATCTTTAGTGATAGTTCTACAATCTCTAAGGTATAAATTTAACATGTCTGAAATATGACTTTTTAAAAATGTTTAATCCTATAAAACATGTTTCTTGTAATAAAAAATGCACATTTTTAAAAAATGCACATTTATAGGTAAATTGTCTTAAATTTATTTTAGAGGATCTCAAACACTGACACTATAAATACCTAGGTACAATTATCTAATTATTATACCCATATTTTACATTATAATTGCATGAATGCATACTTTAAGTATCACACAAGGCATTATCAAAATTGCTTTGTGATCCAGGAACAGCAGCACACACCTGTAATCCCAGCAACTCAGGAGCCTGAGGCAGGAGAATTGTGTATGTAAGCCAGCCTCAGCAATTTAGCAAGGCCCTAAGCAACTCAGCAAAACCCTGACTCTAATATAATATATTTTTAAAAATGGGTTGGGGACGTGGCTCATTGGTTAAATGCCCCTGAGTTCAATCCCTGGTACAAAAAAAAAAAAAAAGAGTCTTTGTGATTGTTAAAAGTTGTTCCATGAGGTCATATTTGTTCACGCTTTCACCAAATGAATGACTCCTAATGGTAACTGTAGTTGTAATCTTGAGTGTAAACAGGATACTGGAAGAATAAGCCCCTTCATTATGAAAGATAAAAAATAGTTGAAAATTATATATTCTCAATTAGAACATTGTATTCCCATAATTTTTCTCCCAACAGAAAAGCTAGAGATGACTAAGGATAATTACTCCTTAACAACAGATTTCATCCTCATGGGATTTACAGATAATCCAGACCTAAAGACCCTTCTGTTTGTGGTGTTCTCTGCCATCTATCTGGTCACCATGGTGGGGAATCTAGGGTTGGTGGCCTTGATTTACATGGAACGCCGTCTTCACACACCAATGTACATCTTCCTGGGCAACCTGGCTCTCATGGATTCCTGCTGTCCCTGTGCCATCTCTCCCAAGATGTTACAGAACTTCTTTTCTAAGGACAGAAGAATTTCCCTCTATGAATGTATAACACAATTCTATTTTTTCTGTTTTGCTGAAACTGTAGACTGCTTTCTTCTGGCAGCAATGGCCTATGACCGCTATGTGGCCATATGCAGACCACTGCAGTACCACACTCTGATGTCAAAGAAACTCTGCATTCAGATGACCACAGGAGCCTACATAGCTGGACACCTCCACCCTACAATTCATGTAGGACTTCTATTTAGGTTGGTTTTCTGTGGATCTCATCAAATCAATCACTTTTTTTGTGATGTCCTTCCATTATACAGACTTTCTTGTGTTGATACTTATATCAATGAATTGATGGTACTTATTTTGTCAGGGTTTATTCAAATCTTTACTATTACTGTAGTACTAATCTCTTATTTCTATATTCTTTTCACTATATTCACAATGAAATCCAAAAAAGGAAGAGGAAAAGCTCTATCTACTTGTGCCTCCCATTTCCTCTCTGTGTCAATATTCTATGGTTCTCTGCTTTTCATGTATATTCGGCCAAATTCATTTAAAGAAGGCAATAACGATATACCCGTTGCTGTATTTTATACTCTAGTTATTCCTCTGTTAAACCCTTTTATTTATAGTCTAAGAAATAAGGAAGTAATAAATGTCATCAAAAGAATTGTGATAAAGAGATAACTTTGTACCATTTTGAAACAAATATTATCTGTCTCCCTTGGAAAATTGATTTTAACTTAATAATATCTTTTTCTTAATATACAGGTATTGAGAAAGTAGAAAACACCTGTTTCAGGAATAAAATGTCAAATTCTGGCAACATGATGATATTGCTGTCAAATTAATGTAGAAAGTAGGACTGCTAAAGTGTACTTCAAAATATAAGGTACCTCATTCCATTAGATATAAACTAAAATGATATTGCCTGAATGCTGATGTGAAATCTGTTCCAATTTTTGACAAATACAAAAAATACTAGGAATAACAGTTACCCATGTATAGAAGATGCTACTATTTAATATTTTTTGCAAATTCCTTGAATTCCAAAATACAATCTTATAATTTAAGGCACATTCCAAGGTCTCAAATACTAATATTTGTTTATGCAACACCATCTCTGGAAAGCAAACTATATTTGAATTTGCTCTTCAAATTGATTTTAGGTCCTTCAGGAGAACATGTTTGAATGTGTATGCAAAGATAATATCTTCTAATTAAGAATGTTTTCATTTTTAGTGTCAGTCATTTTTACTCTGAAATTAAAAGTACCTGTATATGATGAGTTGTCAATTTGTATTTTATAACAACACTATTCATAATTAAAATCATATGATGTTTATTTTTTCAAAGACTTTGCTTTATATAACCAACATATATGAGATTGTAATTCACATATCAATTAATCAAAATTTTTTCTCCCAAAAATTTCAGTACTTCCTTCTTTGTGTGTTTCAACCATGTCACTTCTGATTTTATATTACCAGTACTCAAACTGTTCATGAAATATTTGGATATTCAGTAAATATTTCTTTCAAAATATTCTTTGTATACCTATGTTAGAATTAAATGCATTTAATTTTTTACAATTTTGAATGACAAATGTTTTTAGTTTTTCTGTTTTGACTTCTAATCTGGAAAACATCAACAGACATTTGCAAAGTCTCTGAGGATATGAAATATGTTTTACAACCATAAAAGAATTCAGAGACCAAAAAGTTTAAGAATCTCTAAATTGGATGTATATTATACACATGGTATTTTAATGGTAATTTTCAGTTCTCAGAATTATATTTATTGATTTTCTTTTCCTTTTCTAATAGCACCGTGGGTTTTATTGTTTATTTCAACAGCACCCACCACTAATTCTCACCATTAATCCACCACTGAGTTCCAGACATCTCTTGATGAGACACTATGTCACTTACTTGGGGCCATTGAGACAAAAGAGATGATTTTTATGGAAGTTTCTGAGAAATGAGTTTCTTTTATTTAAAAGACATTCACACACACACACACACACACACACACTGCAAAAAAATTCATCTTGCTCTCTCTAAATGAATAGGTGTGAAGTTCATTACAGCCTACTCCTATTTAGTCATCAAAAAGAAAATCAGCCTACGGTCATAGTCAGCACTAAAGGGCTGAACTGAGAGAATCCATGGCATACAAATTAAAGGAATGAACTAAATCATCTCTTACAGTCATATAATCCAATAGATCTTCTTACTGTTTAAGATTTGTTTAAAAAGATTCTGTTTGCAATAGATTAAATGCTAGTTGCAACAATTATGTCTCTTGCTGATCTCTAATATGTGTCCTTTAATGCTCAAATGAATTCTCACACATTGTCTTAGTTAACAAATACCTTTTCAGTGTATCCACTTCACTATTTAGCACATGTATTAAGTCTTTTACTCTCATTACTATTTTTCAATTTCAATAACCCCAAAAGAAAAAGTTGAAGACTACAGAAATTTTCTAATTTATCCACAGAGATATAATGGTTCAGCTCAGGAATCAAATCCAGGATATTGGGTTCCAGAATTCATGGTCTAAACTATTAATGCTTGTTATAAATTACATAATCTAAATACAGAACAACAAAGAAATTTCTAAGAATGTAAGATACCCTTGGTAATCAGAAAAATGCATGTCAAAGATACATTGAGATTTCTTCTCACTCCAGTTTGAATGGCAACTATCAGGAATACAAAAAACGATAAATGCTGACAAGGATGTACAAGCAAAGTTACACTCATATATTATTGGTGGGACTGAAAATTAGTACCAAAACTTTGGAAAAGAGTTTTGGAAAAGAATCAGAAAACAGAAACGGGGGATGAAGAGTAACGCCATTACCGCCGGAGCCGCCGAGAGCACTTGCGGACTGGGACTGGACACTGGATCGGCCGCACCATGAGACTCCTCCCCCGCCTGCTTCTGCTGCTCTTGCTGGTATTCCCCGCCACCGTTTTGCTCCGAGGCCGCCCAGCAGGCTCATTAGCAGTGGCACAGGATCTTACAGAGGATGAAGAAACAGTGGAAGATTCAATAATTGAAGATGAAGACGATGAAGCTGAGGTAGAAGAAGATGAACCCACAGATTTGGCAGAAGATAAAGAGGAAGAAGATGTATCTGGTGAACCTGAAGCATCACCAAGTGCAGATACAACTATCCTGTTTGTGAAAGGAGAAGATTTTCCAGCAAATAACATAGTGAAGTTCTTGGTAGGCTTTACAAACAAGGGTACAGAAGATTTTATTGTGGAATCCCTAGATGCCTCATTTCGTTATCCTCAGGACTACCAGTTTTATATCCAGAATTTCACAGCTCTGCCTCTGAACACTGTAGTGCCACCCCAGAGACAGGCCACTTTTGAGTATTCCTTCATTCCTGCAGAGCCCATGGGTGGACGACCCTTTGGTCTGGTCATCAATCTGAACTACAAAGACTTAAATGGCAATGTATTCCAAGATGCTGTCTTCAATCAAACGGTTACAGTTATTGAAAGAGAAGATGGGTTAGATGGAGAAACAATCTTTATGTATATGTTCCTTGCTGGTCTTGGACTTCTGGTTGTTATTGGCCTTCATCAACTCCTAGAATCTAGAAAGCGCAAGAGACCCATACAGAAAGTAGAAATGGGTACATCAAGTCAGAATGATGTTGACATGAGTTGGATTCCTCAAGAAACTTTGAATCAAATCAATAAAGCTTCACCAAGAAGACTGCCCAGGAAGCAGGCACAGAAGAGATCAGTGGGATCAGATGAGTAAATGTTCCTTTGTGCAACAATTCAGTCTGTACTTACCCTGCCCTAATGTTTTTCGGCCTGATGGGAATTAGTGCAGAGAAGCCATATCACCATAGAAGGCAACTACGGCTTATGTGTGGACTGAGCAATCAGAGTCTGTGGCGATAATACTGCTGAAAATGCACTGCATTCGTTTTTCTAAAGTAACAAATTT